AAGGAAGCCCTTGCTCTTGTTTGGGCTATCGAACACTTTAACACGTTTCTGTTCGGAAAAGAATTTGATTTGATCACTGACCATAAGCCATTGGAATTCCTATTTAGTCCTAAGTCAAAGCCATGTGCCCGCGTCGAAAGATGGGTATTGAAATTACAGGCTTACAGATATAAGATAAAATATAAGCCAGGAAATACAAACATTGCAGATCCACTATCACGATTATGCAGGGAAACACATGTACAATCTATACAGGATGACTATGTATGCCAAATAGTACAATTAGCAAAACCACATGCTATTTCTATGCGAGATATAATTGCATACTCCGAAAGCGACTTAGAAATAACGAACGTAAGAAATGGACTCCATAAAAATCAGTGGGATGAGTCAATTAAGAACTTTAAAATTTTTGAAAATGAACTTTGTTTTTATGACAATATTCTCTTGAGAGGAATAGAATTGTAATTCCAAACAAATTAAGGAAACAAGTATTAGTGGCAGCCCATGAAGGTCACCCTGGGATCGTGTACATGAAAGAACGCTTAAGAGCTAAAGTCTGGTGGCCAAAGATTGATAAAGATGTCGAGATGTTAGTCAAGAGCTGCAAAGGGTGCACTCTTGTGGGACTGCCAAATCCACCTGTACCTATGAAACGGCGGGAACTTCCATCAGCACCATGGATCGACATCGCAATGGATTTGTTAGGACCACTACCAAGTAACGATTACCTTCTGGTAGTAATTGACTATTTCAGTCGTTACAAAGAAATCAAGATAACCAAAATCATCAATAGTGTACAAATAATAAAAAATTTAAAAGAGATATTTAGTCGCCTCGGCTACCCAGATTCAATTAGTGCAGATAATGGGCGTCAATTTATTAGTGAAGAATTTAAAAGCTTTTGTTCTGAGTGTGATATTAAATTATTAAATTCTATACCATATTGGCCCCAGATGAATGGCGAAGTAGAGCGCCAAAATCGTGACATATTAAAACGACTAAGAATCAGTCTACTTGAAAAAAAAGATTTGAAAGAGACATTGTATGAATACCTGATGATGTATAATTCTACTCCACATTCAGTAACAGGGAAATCACCATCAGAACTTTTCTTTAATCGTCAAAACAGAGACAAAATACCTATGTTAAAAAACATCAATAGCGAAGAAAACTATTCAGAAATTAGGGACCGAGATAAACTACAAAAGGAAAAAGGTAAAGAATATGGAGACCGGAAAAGAAGAGCAAAAAAATTCTGAAATAATAGAAGGAGATAAAGTTTATTTAAAACATATGGAAAGACCAAACAAACTAACTGCTAACTTCAGCCCTACCCCGCACGTTGTAGAGAAATCGGTAGGTGGAGATATCACAGTGAGAAATGAAGAGACCGGACAAAGATTACGGAGAAATGTTATGCATTTAAAGAAAATAGATGGAATATGGAACTCTATCCGTGATGAGACCACATCATCCTCAGAAGGTCATGAAAGGGAAGATCATAACGATGCAAATTAAGTTAAATTTATTTTTTGATTTTGTATTGATTCAAGAAATAAGTCCATTATTTAAATGTTATTTGGATTAAAAATGTATTTCATTTGAGTAAAAAATTCCTTCGTAAGGAAGGGATGTAGTGTTGTGTCTATACAATAGATTCAATACACTGTCTCATATACACAAGTGGTGGGGGGTAACACGTCATTCGGTTGTTGCACTGACACTGAGTGCCGACGGGCAGTTGCCTTGTGGAGTGCTCCGAGGTAGGACGTGTACCCAGCAGGACTTGGTGTTATAGTGAGCCAGTGTTAAGTGTAGTGAATATTATTCTATAAAAGTTCTACACACACAATAACAAATACTTAAACTATTATGCTGCTGTGTTTTTCAAAATCTAATAATTAGCATTTTTTTATCGACCGACGATAAACAATACTTATTTATATTTCTATTCTTGACCACTGAATTGTGAAAAAATTTTATGTTTATAAAACTTCCCATGTTTTTAAATATTACTACCAAATATTATTAGCACAGAATAAATAATAGATACGACGACCACGAAGATATTATTCAATATGTCCACCTGTCACACATTTGAGACACCTGCTTATATATTTATCGACCGACGATAAACAACCCTTATTTTTATTTTTATTCTTGATCACTAAATTGTGACAAAATTTTATGTTCATAAAACTTCCCATGTTTTTAAATATTACTACTAAATATTAGCACTGAATAAATGATAGATATTGGATCAAAATTAGTTAATCGGCATAAAGTGGACGCTACTTTTAATCACTCGAAGAGTGGAGTTTTTTGGGTTTTTCCTAGTACCTAAGTCCTTCGTCGGCTTTCGCTTTTGAGTTCAAAGAGCGCGCACTTTGTTTTGTTTATTATATTCTAGCAATAAACGACAATATTAATTTATTTAAAAAAATAATTACTACCTACTACATATTCTTTATCGAATATTTCACACTAAAAACACATACTAAATTTCTCCTACAAATAGTTGCAAATTTGGAATTAATCAAGGTATTTTATGCATGAAATAACCTTTTTAAATATTTTCGTAGATCTATTTAGCAATAAAGTGGAAATTTATAACATAAGTATTCAAATACTATGTGTATTGGGGTTGAAATAATATCCATTTCATTATAATTTCTATAATTGCCATGCCTATGTGTACACCTATACGTCCCCGAAACAACCAACAGGGTTTTTGTTACATACTGTATATATATATATATATATATATATATATATATATATATATATATATATATACAGTATGTAACAAAAGTTCATTTAGTGTTCATAAATTAATTTACGTCGAAATCCGCATTTAAACGCTGACCGCCAACTTAAATTCATACGCTAAATTTGGCCGAGGCGCTTGTCGACTTTATGAAGTTTGACGTTTGGGCGCTCGAGAGGTTCACTAACATATTTGTAAATAAATAGTGACGTTATTGGATAACAGAGGGCACTTATTACAATAATTTTTCTTTCTTCTCGAACAATCTACTAAAAATAATAAAATTTAAAGATTATTTGGTAAATACACATTATTCTTATGATAATAAAGCGAAATCACGTTCACTTTTTGCTCCATATCATGGCATACAATACTTTAATGCACAACCAGGCATATTTTCTTTAAAAATATTTTTAAATTTATAAAATGAATGCGTCTTGACCTTTTGACGATGTCATTTAGACTAAATGACAAAAATCGGAGATATATCCTATAGGACAAAAGTTTCAACGACAATTTTGTTACTGATGTCCGGTCTATTTCTACTACCTATTTAAATGTCTTTGGTGCCGATGCAACATAGTGTGGAAAATTATATACAGTTGCGTGATGTTTAAACCTTATAAAACCAGTTAGGGCTAGAAAAAGAGCTTAGTCAATGGGTTAATAATAAATGACTTTAGTATTCCATCTAAAAATCGTATACATTATAAACAATGACGCCTAAGTGTGATAGGTAAGTCCTTTTCTGTTTAGGTTAGTAGTAGTAGTAGTAGGTCAGTAGTTCTTAACTTTATAGTGATGGGGGGGACCATTTGATCAATTTTTGTCTTACCATGACCACCAACTTATTGACATACATAATACAAAACTTGGAAAGTTGGTTTTTAAGTTTGTTCTTTAAATAAAACACGCCAAAATAAACGTGCGACGCCATTGTGTGCCCCTTATTTAATTTACGAAACAAACCGCATCTGAAGTATTCCCAAAACGATCATCAATTTTAAAAATGTTGTACACTCTATATTTTTTGCCTTCACAGACCACTGTCTTCAAGGGCCACCAATGGGTTAAAAACCATTGGTTAGGTAAGAATAAGATAGTATACTCTTACCTAAGATGCTACCAAACAAGAGTATATACTGTCCTTTGCTATGTTTCCTTTGAGAGGTAGAAGTTAACAGTGTTTTATCCCTGTGCCTCGTAAAACATGTTAAGTTGTCGGTCCTATATCTGACTATCTGAACATGTCAGATTTCCGTGTCATTGGACAATGAGATTAAAGGAATAGAGAGTGCACCTGTGCTTGTAAGCCCGACTCGTAATTACTCGTTGGTAACATTTAAAAAAAAATTAGCGACAATCTCTACTCTGTGGGATTGTTGACATTAGCTTTAGACTAATTAATAAAATACATATGCCTATATTTACTCTGAGACATTGGCAGTATGAACAAACGACATAACTTTTCATATAAATTTTAATTATGCGAATTTCTACAATCTTCCGATAGCACAATTTGCTTAAGCAAGGGTACAAAGTTGACTCTTCAGGTTATATTACAGAGATATCAACGATCCGGCCCGCTTTCGTAAGAGTGATTTCTGGATCTGAACAACATCGCTACTTGCCGGGTTCAATTGTGAATTTAATCTATTTTGGGATTTAATTTAATCAATCACATACACGAAATTTCATTGAATTCGGTCTAACCATTTACCAGGAGTTCATACATATACACACGGACAGAAGAATTGTATATAACATGTAACAAAAACCCTGCGGGTTCCTTTAAGTGCGTTATCAGAATCAGTTTTCAAATGTATAGAAATAACTTTTCAGAAAACTTGACTATTATAAAATTTATTTTATTAAAAAGGAATAATTTACAAATTCTATGTGCTTTTATTACCTCTGCATTGTCCAGGGGGGAATAAAAGCATTGTCAAAGACCTAGTTTTATCGATGCTCGTGTCAGTTAGAGGTATCACATACAATTTGCAAATAAAATTTTTTGTTTTAATTAAATAATTTTTTTAATGGTCGTGTTCTGAAAAAAAAATATTTCTATACGATTGAATAGTGATTCTTATAACGTACTTTGTTTACTAGCTTCACTAGTTGACCTGTTTTCCTGCTGATACACTAGAAGGTATGTCATAAACATACTTAACGGGAACCACAGGGTTTTTGTTACATGTATAATAAGATATCAAAAGTATGTATATACCTTGAGCTCTTGCTTGATCTGTGTGAAGAGCGCCTTGGGCGTGAGAAGGTGCCAGTCGGCGGCTGGCGCGGAGGTGTGCGCGGCCGCGGGCGCGGGGGATGCGGCGCGCGCGTGGCGGCGGTGGCGGCGGCCGCGCGGGCGCGTCGCTCGCGCCGGGCACTCGCCCGCCGCCGCCGCCGGCGCCGCGCACCCGCCCAGCAGGCAGCTCAGGAAGTGCGCCGCCGCCGCGCCCGTGCACATCGCCTCGCACCCCTATACCACCACCACAATTATACGGTATGTTACGAAACGTTTTGACTATACTGCCCATGAAGGTTAGAGAACAGGAGAAGGATCACTACGTACTAAAGCATAGCCCGCATGTCCTTGAAAATTGTAGAATTTATAGCGGCGCTGACGTCGGTGAGTAGTGACTGCGAAGTTAGATGTTTATGATTACAAGTAGATGAAGTTTGTTGAATAATGTACTAATTTTCATTTCATTTTTTCGTAGAAAATTTTCATGCTCCGTAATTTTGTAATTTTTGACAAAAAGAAACATTAAAAAATGGAGAAATATTTTATTGTGCTTGGGTGTGCAAGTGGTTAAGAATCTAATCGGAAAAATAGACTGGAAAAATGACTTTTATTGACTGCACTTAGTAATCGCAGCACCTCACTGATGGTTTGTTCGGATCGTTCTCCTGTTCTCTAACCTTCATGATACTGCCGAATACAAATGACGTCATCAATTGACACTATATTGTACTGGCATGCCGCTGCCATATTGTGTCGGATATCCGGCCATAATAAAACAATTTTTAATTGTGTGTGCGCTTAATGAAGAATGCCAGAATTTGTTTTTATTTATTCAAATACAAAAAATTATAGAATAATTGCTGGTATCTCCATTAGGAGGATATAATGATTTTGGAGCACAAAATGACAAAATAATCTCCAACACTTTTCCAATACGGCGCAAATGTATGATGGCATATACTGTCCTATGTTTTGGAACGAATCACCAGTATAGCGTCGATTCATGACGTCATTTGCATTAGACAGTACACGGGGTTCTATTATTTGAACATACACATAATCGCCCGCCACGTGTCCGCTACTTGACACTGAGGTGATTCTTTTAACACGGATATGATCATACAGTGTCAATAACATCAAAAAGTTACGTTAAGAGGATTGTGAATCGCCGATAAGCGGCGTGAGTAGGTATTTTCAAAAATTCTATCTGTTTCATACCGCTCGCTCTGCCTTCCTCCGGGCGTCATTTTTGAAATATTGTTTCGGGCGACAAAGTTTACAACCCCCTAAACCCTTACTAATTGAGACAATTTTGGTCTCATTAGATTCAATACACCTGCATCTAGGACTGTAAGTTACTCATTTATAGTAATTCAGTTCAGTTTAAATTAAAAAAAGTTCCAAGAAGTTTTTAGCATATGCAACTTATATTTTATACAATATTTCATTATATATTACATATAATTTTCATTATATATATATACAACATTTCGTATAAGGGAGCAAACGGTATCACTTTTTGTATGGAAATTTTTACAGCTTCATAATCCTCTTAAAATAAAAATGTTTAGGTTTCTAAATTAAGTGCACACAAAGCAATGCGTTGGTGTCGTGTTCTTAATGTTTTCACACATTTTTACTTTTTATTATTATTAGGTATATTTGTATTTGGTTTATTAATTACTCATGTAATTAATATAAAATAAATCTAATATGTAAAAGTAGTACAGTCCTAACATAAATTTTGACTATGGCATTATTTTATATACAATCATTGATATTACTACACAAGACTAGGCGGACCGCACATTAAAATAACACCTATTAATAATCGTTCCTCAGCTCAAATGCACAGACTCGGGAACAATCAATTAAAGTCATTTGAAGTTTAGATTTACGTTATCAGCAGAATGACGCATTGTATAATACTTCTTTCTTTGACTATATATTACAATACGAAACATTGGCAACTTAAGCAATACATATGTGATTGTTGGTTTATGATACCACTCGTTTGTAAAGTATCCATTAATTTAACTGTCGCAGTTTGAACTTAAAAGTAACTATTTATTTCTATATTACAGACAGAAACTTTAATTTTATTTATAAGTATAAATATAAATACATGTTAGGTCGTAGTTTTAATAATTTGTACTTCATGATTTTAACTAGTTAAATAAACATAACAAGGATAGGCACAGACAATATGTAACAATCACTTAATATTTTATAAAGATATTAATAATTAGAAAATTAATTCCAAAGCCCACTGCACTGTGTTAGATTTTTTTCTACTAGGTACCAAAGAGTCCAGATAAAGTTACTGTATGGTTACAGCACACATTTTTATTTAATAAACGTTGCAACCTACTTTAGCCACGCGTCGCGTGTACTTAAATTTACTTTTTTAATTGCAAACTTACGATCGGCAGTACGTCAACGACCGTCCTTCGAAACACCAACTACTCAAGGAAAGATTTGCCACTCTAACTTTTTAATTATTTTACTTTTAATTAAACTTTTAACTTTGGTGATCTTTTCCCTCTGACATGCTCATCAACTAACTACAACTCTACTTCTTAAAAGTGTGTGGCCTTACAAACCATACAGTTGCGAACCTCTGATTTTAAAACATAGTTATTTACATAACATTTAAAGGATTTAATATATTATTAATTTTTATTTTTCAATATATTTACGATTATATATATATTTAGAATCAAAAGCAGTTTTGAAAAAATAAGTAGTCCTATATGTGACTTCCATTGTGTAAAAATAGGAGTAGACAAGCTAAACTAAATACTTTACTCCACAAGGCCTGTAATGGACTAAGTATATATTTTATTCGTTTTTTTTTTCGGATTTTTTTTATAGGATAGGATGACAAACGAGCACACAGTCCACCTGATGGTAAGTGGTTGCTGTGGTCCATAGACATCTACATCTATCCTCGATTACGAATCAAAATGCAGATGCGTCGTCACCCGTGAGGACTTAGGTGAAATGCCTCGTTTCCAGTAAAAAGGGTCTCCGGTTCTCTACACTCACCATACGAAACACAGCAGCGTTAAGCTACTATGTGACGCTGGTATTCTGTGAGATCGTGGTCCTTCCCCGGTCGAGCTGACCCATTCGTGCTACAACTATACTACTAATATAACTGTAGCATGGCTCTATCACGTAAAAATTATAATAATATAGTTATTATAATAATATGGAATATATGGATAATAATTACGCTTGGGAAGGAGGCACTCACTCTATAGGTTTCCAGATCTAGATCTATTATAATTAATTACATAATTAGTTGTTCCGAGCCAGTAATAAATTCAATTTAAAGTGATTTTCGATAATATATTTGTGCGCTAGGGTGTGGTCGTGTGGTATGTGACGGTGTGTGTGTGCGTGTAGGCGCACCTGCAGGTAGGCGGTGTAGACGTGCTTGGCGGCGCGCAGCAGCAGCTCGGCGACGGCGATGGCGTGCAGGTAGGCGAGCGAGGCGTGCGGGCGCAGCGCCAGCGCTACGCGGCCCAGGTAGCGCACGTTGATGCCGCGCGCGTGCAGCGCCTCCGACAGCCCCGCGCCGTCCATCGGCGCCGCGCTGTGCTCCAGGCACTCGCGCACCTGCACAATCATCGTTCACTTACATCACTTACGACCACGACACACGCCCAACTACTTAAACGCTGCGCAATTCAGATGCCGTTAAAGCACCTTATTCACGGTCGACGTACGTAATTATTGAAATACATCAAGCATACTCATTGTCGTTTTGGCGGGACGTACAACAAGATGGACCGTGAATAAGACGCTTTAGTCTCGTGCTATCTCTTTCACTAAGTCAAAGTGACTGTTACACCAACAAACTCAAGGACATCTTAAAATGTAATAGCGTTTGAGTATTTGGTAGTGATGCAACGGAAGTGCCATACCGGAAGTAGAAACGGAAATAGATGCTAAAAATATTTTTGCAGAAACGGATACAGAAACGAATGCGGAAATACTATAAAAAATTAGAAAATTGAGTAGCGGTAAGTTATATTTTATGAAAGGTAGTTCGGCCGCTTTTACATCTAACAATCTGTTCCGGTATTCTTCATATATAAGTCCAGCTCCGCTAAATAATTGCTTACTGGTGATGCTGCGTATACAACAAACCTAAATTGGCACTGAAATATGAACATACCCTTTAAAGAGCCACATTTAGATTTAGTGAGTAGGTAATTTAGTATAGCCCTAGGTACGAAAGTACCTACGACGTAAACGAACTTTGAATCCAAAATACTCATTTAAGTGTCTTTAAAAATAATTAATATAAACTTCACGTAAAAAATATAAACTTCAAGTAAAAAATAATTAATATAAACTTCACGTAAAAACAATTAATATAAACTTCACGTAAACATAAATGCTGCCTTAATTAATTTTACAAGTTGTAACATAGGCATTTAGTAAAAACTAACTAATTCCTATTTGTTTATAACTACTAAAGTAGTTATAAATAAATAGGAATGCAATTCCTTGACTGACCATTTGTTTTTTAATTCACCATGAAAGTTTTACAGTTTCTACCATTGATATACAAGTATATCAACGGTTTCTACTAATTTCACAAACTCTTCGGCGTGTATCGCTTTAAGATAGCTCTTTATAGCGGTAGTTTTGCGGCCTTTTCGCGAGTATATTTTGTCAGATAATTTACATATGGCTGCTAAATCATCAATCTCAACATAATAGTTCCAAACAGGACTTGGTTTTTGGCATCATGATTGCACTTAAGGTTGCCCTAGTCGATGGCACGAACTAAGTGGTGGGCGGGGCAAAAATGCATGCTATCTCAGCCGACATCTCGTGCGAAAGGGATAGACGCTGTAATGAGCAGTAAGAAGCTAGTGCGCACACACATACGCACTCGAGTGACGCAATGCGCGACGGCATCATCGCGTACCTAGGTACCTATGCGATTCATTTTTAATAACATAAACTCAAACAGCAATTGTGAGCTTCGTGCCGCAATAGCTTAGCAATGAGTAGCTGCGCTGAGTGCCGCGGGTTCGAGTCCCCCCACGGAACAAATATTTTGTGGACTACAAATATTTTGTGGACTACAAATAGTTGTTCCGGGTCTGGATGATTGTTCTTATGCAATTTATATTTGTAAACTGCCTCCACGATACTGGAGAAAATCGGGGATAACGTATTTTAAAAAGAGAAAGGAGAGAGAAAGCAAATTGGTGTTATTGTAACTTAGAATCTGCTGTGTGAAACGTAATTATTATGAACCCAATTTATGTACTTAGTTGTTATTATGAAAGTTCTTATGTGAACTTAAGTAGATGTTATTATATAATAATTCCATTGATTTGTTTTTACCTACTTTTTAACCGACTTCGAAAAAAGGAGGTGGTTCTCAATTCGTTGGTTTTTGTTTATGTATGTTCTGTTCCCCGATTTCTCGAATATGCCTGAACCGATTTGGATATATTTTCCAGATAATCCCACGGTAATCGATGATGATCAGATCAGGATCTGATGATGGGATCTTGGAGAAATCGGGGGCACTCTTCAATAAATGACAGCAAATCAACCGCGATTGCTGCTATCGCTTATCTATGCATTCTTTACGCAATCACACAGTATAATATCACCTGTACCCACTAAAGGGACATAACTCTAAACTAAAAACGGTAACATAAAAAACTTTTTTTTGAAAAAAATATAACAATTTCTAAAACAAACACAAAAAAGTGTAACATAATTATGTTTTCTGTATGTTTTTGTATTTTACTGTAGGTTATGCAAATATTACTGTAGGTACTATGTATTCTAAATAGGTATTTACTTTCCATAGCTAGTTAACTATAATAGCCCGCAGGCAACTCTCCGACCCCGAAGTATATGTCAGCCAGTGTCAGGATAACTGCTTTTTCGACAGCGCGATTTTGATGTGAGTGTGGCTTTTATATAGGTAAATTAAATAAAAAAAATGTTAGTTTGTAAATTGTTTACTGATTATTTGTGTTCAATAGCGGTTTGAAATATTCTCTTAGTACTTAGAAAGTTATTAACAACAGGCATTGTGTCACTGCAGGGACAAGCACAAACGTCTATCAAAATAGTAACGTATATAAACGGAATACTAACAGCATAGACTTCCTTACAGAAGTCCAAAGAACACGTCTAGGCAAGGTAAGTAATTAGAAGAAAACTACAATTTAGAGATCGATTGTAAATCAAATTCACAGTACAGACACAATTAGCGAAATATGAATAAATTTTTTATTTATTTTATGATAGATAACGCTAGTTGAAAACTAAACACTGTATGGGAATGGCATCACTGAACGAGTCAGGTGATCAGTCCAAACAAATAAAAGGCGCGATTGTAGAAATAAATTCGTTACTTGTTCGGGGCTTGGCCTGTTTATGCTATTCATAACGAAGGCTATAAATATGTAGGTATAACTTAGAAACTAAATCCTATGTGTACTTATCTGTATTCATAACCCAATATCTAAGGTAGGTTATTCTGTAATAAAAGTAAAGTAAAGTAAAGTTACAGCCTATATACGTCCCACTGCTGGGGTCAGGCCTTCCCCTCATTTCTGAGAAGGTTTAGGGCAAGGAAGTGTCCGCCGCGCTGCCCAAATGCGTGTTGACGAACTTCACATGTCTTCGAAATATTTTTTCTTATTCCTCAGACATGCAGGTTTCCTCACGATGTTTTCCTTCACCGCCGAGCACGTGGTAAATCAGCACTTAAAATTGCAATTAACAATTTCATTGGTGCCGGCGGGGATCGAACCCGGGTTACTCGCGTTCTGTTATATTTACAGCGAGCGTTAACCACTGAGCTACCACGGCTCTGTAATAAATTAAATCTAATCCAAAATATAGGTACTATAATACCATAGGAAAGCTACTACTATTTTTTTAGTAGTAGCTTATATAGTAGTATAGTAAATTATATAAAAAAAATATGAGTATGTTAGGTAAGGTTAGGTTAAATATAAACAAATATTTTGCCAAGTGCGAATCGGACTTCCGAGCTTCCGAGATTACAAGATTTAAATACCTATACATATTACTATCGATCAAAAAAGCCAAAAATACACGTTTCTTTTTCTAGTAGAAAATCCTTTAATTTCAACAATAGGTATATTAGGATATGAGATTCCTATACGTAAGCACGATTATCGAAAATCTAAAAATTACCTATTCTAATTCAATTAATAGATAATTTTAAGATTTTCGATAATCGTGCTTATCTATGAGATGTTTTCGTTAGTTAGCAAAATAAAGTAGTTAAGTACCTAATGTACTATCTGTATCTAAAGTTCATTATTATGTACCAACTTGTTTTCAATTTTAACTAAATGTGCTTCAACAAACTTATGGGAACATTTTAGCAGCTATATTCATACCGGCTTCAGCAATGGACACGAACAAAAAAAGGAAGCAATTTTTCTAAATAAAGATGTAGATAATTACAACCATAAATAGATAGCAGCGGCTAACCTAGTGAGTATGTGTGAGTGCGCGCTGCGTCCCCCTCCGTCCGTCCCACTGATCGGGGAAACAATTTGTAGCGAAAGGCAAGATGTTTTATAACAAAAACGGGCGCGCGAAATTTTATAAACAGACCTTTGGTAGTCTGGATGTCACGAAAAATCTATTTCAAAATTTAAATTTCAAAAATCTTTATTTCACAACACAATGGTTTGTAACTGTAAACAGAGGTTGGGACCATCCTATTAAGTAATAATAATACTTGTGCCAGGTGGCCCCGCTCTTCCTTACTTTGCTAAATATCTTTAAATGTGTTTGTGAAGACAATTTGGAAAAACACTTATAAAAATAATTAATGTTAACATTAGTTTAGAGTGAAAAACAAGGCAAAACAACAATCAATACTTTCAATTTACATATTACCTGAAATAGATTAATTCTGAATTTCAATAAAAAAGCATGAGAGCGTGTTCGCACGCGCGCACGCGCGCATGTGTGTGTGTGTGTGTGCGTGTGTGTGTGTGTGTGTGTGTGTGTGTGTGTGTGTGTGTGTGTGTGTGTTTGTGTAAAAATATATGTGTATTGTGTGAGTATGAATGTGTAACTTCGTATAAATTGTCACAGTTCTCGTTCACCAAAACCTATTTCAACATATCAACATAATAAATATAAAATTAAATCAATTAGCATATTGCAATAAACATTCTATGTCGTTATATGTTTTAGTATATAAATACTTTGTAACTATTTGTTTACATTTGTATGTGTTCAAGTGATATAAATCCAAATCTTTGTTCAGCCTATTGTAGAGATGAGCAGATTGCGATAAGAACTGACGCTGAGCAAATTTGGTTTTTACGTATCTAGTTACTGCTACCCTATCTTTTCTTCTTCTCATCATTATTTCAGAGTTAAAAGGCAAAGATTTGTGTGTCCGTAAAACTATTGATAGAATATATATCTGTCTTATTGAAAGAAGCTCACACAACTTGTAAAGTTCTTCAGTTGGAAAACGAAATGGTTTAAAATACATAACTTTGAGTAAACAACGCTGACTTCTTTCGATTTCTAATAATTTTGTTTTAGCTGCACCTCCCCAGACTGAGATACAGTACCCTATTATGGATTGTGCTAATGCAATATATATTTGATTTAGTAATTTTTTAGAGGTGACATGTCTTAGTTTCCTAAATATCCAAATTAATTTCCGTATCCTATTACTCGTATATTCAACTTGAGAGTGCCAGTTCAAGTGTTGGTCTAGAACAACTCCCAAATACTTTATAGATGCAACCTTATCGATAAATGTACATTTACAGTTAGAACTATTAGAAATACCACAATAATGTATTTTTAAACTATTGTTATTATTTGGTTGCGTTCTATTACTAATCGTAAAGCATACATATTTAGTTTTTGCAATATTTAAGGAAAGAAGGTTACTCTGGAGCCATTTTGAAATTATTAATAGACCAGATTCAGCATTTCTAAATACCGAGTTCCAATTATTTCCCGTAAAAACTATTGCGGTGTCATCGGCATAAGAAAATACTCGACCGTCGACTAAATTTAGGTTAGTTAATGTATTAATATAAATAAGGAACAGAGTAGGACCCAGTACACTTCCCTGTGGAACACCAAAAGTAAGCGGTGATTCTTCACTAATGTAGTCACCTATTTTTACTTGTTGCTTACGTTCCCTCAGGTAATCCTTGAATAAATTCAGCGGGATGCCCCTTACACCGATTACTTCCAATTTCCGCACAATTGAATGTATCTGTTTAAAATAAAATTATTTGCATTTTTGAACAACTAATCTATCCCTGTATGGTAACTGTTTTGCAATTTTCGTTCTTCTTATGGTATTTATTTCCGCCCAAAGATGTGTTAAAAATAGTGTTGAAATTCGGAATTTTCGACGCTTATAACTTTTAAATATACTCTTTTTTTACTTTTTTGTTTCCATACAGGGCTAGATAATGATGTGACCAATTGAAATCATTTTTTATTTTGAACGTACACCATCAAACAGTGGAGTAATCGCCGGACTACGTTTGTATGGAATAATAAGCGACTAGTGTACCCTTAAGTTACACACACGACTCAAATTACTAATTAACTAAAAAAAACAATAACAGAAAATCTTACATGCCGTATCATATTTTTTGATAATATAAAAGGCATGCCATTGAATTAGGTTCATCATCAGCTAAATTTTTATTTAAACCCTACCTGATAATATACAAAAATATGAACATATCAATTGTTTTACTATTGTGTCTATTTCGAGACAGGAAAACTGTTAATATATTCACAACCACAGTTTTAAAATATATAAGTTATTAGGGCTTTAAAACTAAATACAACTTACAAATGCTGGTATCTGCGTAGTGAGAAGGAAGGCGGCGGCCTCCTTTACGAGATGTCGCTGTCGTGCCAGCTGTTCGGGCGTGGCGGCGTGCCGGATGCCGGCCGAGTACACGTCCGGGTTGAAGCGCACGTCGAACTCGGACTCCTTCAGCGACTCCACGGCGCGCGCCGCTGACGCTACCACGGCGCGGGAACGGTCATTCGCTATAATACAATATTGTGTTAAAAAAATATCATTATTATAGCACATAACAAATCCTTATAATATAAAATTCTCTTTTCTACAGCCCCCCAAGCTTGAGTTATTTATCGTATCGAGTTCGTATCGCCACCGAATGACTTTGTATTACAAAATAGAACCATTTACGTCCGCCAAGGGTGTTGTTCATATTTCCTTATATAATTACCCCCTTTTCCCCAAAGGTTAAAATATATACGGTTTTTGGATATATATTATTGTGGCTATTAGTATATATGTTACTATTAGAATTACAATGAAATATTACATAAATGATTTCTTTATTTCAAAATTTAATTATCTGAATCTATTTATACAGTATACGACACCGCATGCTCTAGTGGTCAAAGTATTAAAAAATAGTAACCCACCAACCGAAGAGGCAAACAAAACTTTGTGAAAAACAAATTGTTATTTTGGACATTGCATGTACAATATATATAATATAGCAAATGAATTCTATTAAGACAGCAATACTCGTCAATACTCTAAGCTGATGTTTCAAATCGAATGTACTTTTACTCAGTGGACGGCTCGCACGACGTAATGGTTGGTGCTCCTGAATTTTGAAGAAACTTACGCGCGCGTTTCGAGTTTCTACGAGTTCGTAGACGTGTCCCGCTTAAAGAAGCGGACGCCTTAATTAAGCCTGTGTTTGCACGTACACTACTAGTACTCTATCTCTCTATCTATTTAGGAAGATATTTTCCGATTGTCAAAAACATACATCATAATCCTTTATTATCATGGTGTTGCTATTAAAAAACGAAACCAAAAACATTATTTATCTTAAACCATCGATATATATGTACTACGCACTAGATTTGGCATTTCGAACACTCACTATGTTCAACTGAACTGTACTGCAATCCGTACACCTAATCTATGATGACAATTCTCGCGCGTTTATATCAACTGCGCATGCGCGACTCTACTCTCTCCCGCGTATGCGCGAAGACACAGTAGTGTACATTTTTTGTTTGGAAATAGCTTCTCTAGTACGTAGTACTTGTAACTCAAAGTCTTAAACAAAAGCTATGATGACCTTTTTCTATTTTGTAATAGCGGATATCGCTGATCCCGAAAATTCGACTAGGGAAAAAAATACAATAAATAACTAATAAATATTACCATAAAAAATATCCTAGGAATAAATACCAAATGATTACTGAGAAGTTTTAGTGATGAAATAGAAATATTAAGGAATTTTTAAAATTATACAAAGCAAGAAACTAGTTTTCTTTGATTATAAAGATTAAACTACTAAATAATTTGTATAATCATAATTACTCACTGTCGTCAGCTTCATGTTTGTCACCGCTGCAAATAGAGTCTGTTATGCTCTCAACAATTTTCTTAGCAACATCAGTGTCAATATCTGAGTAATTTTCATTCAACAACAACTCTTCCTCTTTTTCTTTATCGCATTCCTTTGATATGTTTGATTCAACTTTAGTATCCTTTTTCTCAGCCACTTTTTTATTACTGTCTTCCTTTTTGGCCTCAGTTTTTTCTTCTTTCTTTTTCATCTCCTTCTTTTGTTTCTTATCTGTAATTTCTTTCTCTTGACTCTTCGAGTCTCTCTTTTTGTCTTTTGTTTCAGTCTCTTTGGCAAATTCCTTTTTGTCACTATCCTTACTAGATTCAATCGACTTTTGTTCGGAAGTCTCACGCTGTCGTTTCACACTTAACTGTTGTAAATGGAACGCAGCGTATCGTATAAACATGAAATAACGTGCTCTAAAATTGAAAAATTATAAAATTAAACACCTAATATAATAAACAATTCATTGCAGTGTCACTTTACGGTATAAATATTACTTACTCTACAAAACTATCAACTAACTCTTGTCTAAGGCAACAAAGTTTGTGTTTGTGTATTATAGGGAAGCCCATGGATTTAATATCTTCTCGAAGCTCATCGTCTTCCACTGAAAAGGCGAAAAATCGTCAAACGCTAATTTCAAGGTCTTTATATATTTTTATCACAATTATACACTATTTCCACACAGATTTATTATTTTTGATCTCTACTTACAACAAAGTTAATTATATTGAAAAAATGTAAAATAAATAATTTTCTTATAATTTTTTAACCTTCACTAAACACGATTAGTAAATAACTAGAGTTATACATTTCTGATCGTCATACTGCATTTAAGCTGAAAAGAACAGATATTTTTTATCGAAAATACCGCCCACCAATGGATCCCGTAATTTTTGCTCGTAATTATATTGTATTTAAATTTTGTTTGCTTTAATGAACAACAGCTCCTAGTCATATAATCATGTTTGTCCTTAATTAAGAATTAATAAATAATTTGATTGATGGAATTTGATCTTAGCCAAAAGGCCGAGAAGCGATGCCGTGTAGCCGTTGGCCGTGGTAGCTCAGATGGTTAACGCTCGCTGTAAATATAACAGAACGCGAGTAACCCGGGTTCGATCCCCGCCGGCACCAATGAAATTGTTAATTGCAATTTTAAGTGCTGATTTACCACGTGCTCGGCGGTGAAGGAAAACATCGTGAGGAAACCTGCATGTCTCAGAAATAAGAGAAAAAATTTTTCGAAGACATGTGAAGTTCGCCAACATGCATTGGGGCAGCGCGGCGGACACTTCCTTGCCCTAAAACCCGCTCAGAAATAAGGGGAGGCCTGTGCCCAGCAGTGGGACGTTTAGGTTAATATAGGCTGTAACTTTACTTTTACTTTTTGTAATGCGTTTTTCATTATGATAGGACACTGCTCAAAATAGGTTAAAAATTAGGGATTCGGTGGCTATTTACGGTATTGGTTCTTTTCTATTGAGCTGTTTTTTAGTATATTATTTTGACACTTACACTGTAAAAAGTTGACATCAGGCGGGAAAGTGCGTAGAAGGTCCAAGATGTAATGGCGGCCGTCATTGCCGATAATTCCTTTGCACTCCACACTTGAACATAATTCTACAGTTTCCCCATTTGCGCTGATAACTGAATGTGGCATTATTTTAAGTTGCTGGCCGGCTTTACTTAGCTGTGGAGGCAAATATTTTTTTTGTTTAAATACAACATATAAATTGAAAACAAGTGGGCTGTAGTTATACTGGCAAGGATGATTGTGTGACCCGATCGGCATCATGGTAGAGCCAAGCTGGAGTGTACGAGTGGGTCGGCTGGACTAAAGAAGGACCCCGCACCAGCGTTACCATTTACACGGCAATTGCCGTGTTACACGGCAGTTTAGGTCTATTCAGCAATAAAACACGGTACAATGCAGCATATTAATTGCCGTGTTCTGAAACACGGCAATCCAATGTCTACTAATTTTTTTTTTGCGAAAATTTTATCGGTAGTCGATAAGTCATTACACCGCACGTCACTAGACTTCACTAGATGTAGTCATGACTCGATGAGCGGGGAAATCCCGACGCGAATTCGGCATACATTCGCGCACACTTCATTGTTTATGGTAATGGTTTCTTTCGTTTTTTGAAGAGTAGTTAACCACTCGTGATATCCGTCAGTCTATGGACCTATTAGTCTGACCTATGGTCAAGCCAAAGAGTATAGTAGGTTTCGCCAAAGACAATTTTTTTAAATGAAGGTAAATATAACTTAGAGTCATTACCATGTTCTTATCCAAAAATAAAAATTATCAACAATTAAAATATCGAATTATTTGTATGAAGGTCACGTGAGCGCTAGAGAAATGATTGTAAGACGTTGTTGACAAATAAAATAGTACAGTAAAAATAGAATTTAACATTGCACGAAATTTCCGACATAAAATCACAAAATGTCGACAGATCCAGGTGGCGCTTCAAGCGCATCTTGAAAAAACTCAATATCCAACGTAACAAAATTATACAAACCATATTGTAGAAAACAAAATTTCCATCTTTTATCCAAAAAACTTACCTAATCCATTTAATGACAGGTGGCGCTTCAAGCGCCATCTTGAAAAAACGTTTTCAGCCGACATCTCGGAAACAATGCACTTTAAGGCAAAAGTTATACAAACAATTATTGTAGAAAATAAAATTTCGCATCTTTTGTTTCCAGCAAACTTTTTTGTAAAACTTACCGTTTACGATTTATGCCCATTTAATGAACCGGTTTTTCTATCGCGGCCAATAACTCTTGAAATGTTAGATTAATCAATAAAATGCATAAATTTATTTTGAAAGATCATTTTATTTTCCAAAACTTTTGTTTGAAACTTTTTTTTCTAACATGCATACTTTTTGAGTTATAGGACGTTTCATGTCACGCATACAGTCCCCGTACTTTATGATTAAGAACCCGGATTTTATTGGTATTATTTCGGGGAATTCCAAGTAAGACGTCATTATTGTTTACTAACTACGACTTACGGAGTCTCATTTTTGAAATTCGAGTTATAGAGTATAAATATCTATTATCAATATTTCGTAGGGAAATAACATTTTCTTCGAGTTACAAAATCTAATAATTCGAGATTTCGCGTATTTAGGGGTTCAGCGGAAGGGAATGGCAATTTTTTTCGACTTACTGAGTATTTCAACTTAACGAGGTTCGAGTTATAGAGATTCCACTGAATATCATAACACGCATATAATTTTGTAAGTTTTATCCATAAATATTGTCTCAAAGTGAAAATATAGCAAAATTTGCAATATAGCAAAAAATTTGCTAACTTGCAAATTTTCCCGCCATTACGGTTTCGAGGGAACGGGAGTATAACATGTCGCGAGCTGTCTTACCTTACAGGTTAAGTAGAGCGTGTCTATCAGCAACTTAATATTACCAAGTTTTTAAGTTTATATGTCGAACTATATAATAATATAATTATTTTTAAATGTTATTTATAATCTTACCTATGGCTTCGAGTAAACTTAGTGATCATATACTCTTTGGTTCTAAGGTGTCCCTCTAAATATTAGTATACTCTTTGGCGCGGTCTAACAAGGAGACATTAACGTCTCCATATGGAGATGCCGAGCTTTTAAGGGTTAAGAAGATATACAGCTGTTTATTTACTTTATTTAACTTTACTAGCTAAACTCTTTATCCGATCCTAAGGAAATTGTGTAAATTTCAAACCGTCAAAACAAATGATAAGACAATATGAAGGAAAACAATAAATATAAATTGAACAAAGATGAAGAAGTTTTGGGTACGATAAGAAATTTGACTGTGAAGAGTAATGTTTTTATGTCATGTATAATCTTACGTCTTAATTTAAAATAAATAAAAATGTACGCGGCAATTTTGTAGTTTTTATTCCAAAACACGGCAATCCAGATCTCAAAACACGGCAACTTAAAATTTCGAAATGGTAACCCGGCCCCGCAACTACAGAATACACCAGAGAAAAACAGCAGGATAATGGTACTAATTCGTTATTTCGTATGGGTGAGTGATGAGAACCGAAGCCACTTTTAACAGGCATTCAATCTTATTTCTTAGAGATGGCAACACATCTGCATTTTTATTCTTATTCGAGAATAGGTGCAGATGTCTATAGGCCACATAGCATCCACTTACTATCAGGTGCTCATTTCTGATTGAATTGTCTAAAAAAAGTTCCAACATTGAAAAGAAGATTTCATAAGTTTTAATGTTAGTTGCCCCGTGCCATTTTAAGGTGGTGGAAACCTACCAGCTCCATATATTTGGGGTGAGAGAGTACGGTGGTGCCGAAGTCGATGCTGCCGTAGACAACACTCTGCTCTTGCTCCTTCTCGAGGATGCCGGGGATGATGGACTGCGCGGTGACACGGTAGCCACGGTAGTCCACCACCACGGTGCCCAGCGTGTGCAGCCCCGGCGTGTCCACCGCGCTGTACACGCGCACGCCTTGCAGGTCGTTACGCTGGAACAAGCAAATTCACCCTTATTAACCTGCATTTCGTCAGTAATCTAGCAAGATTCAATATTTGTACTTTTCCAATGTTACAAAACGAACAGTGATAATTTCGTTCTAGAATCAACATTATAAGAAGCCAAAAATTGTTTCATTTTGTATCTTCTTCAATTTTACTTTTTTGAAGAAAAAAAAACAGCTCCAACAAGGCAGCGTTTGGGATATTATGGCACATCTTCTCGAAATGTATTCCTCAAACTTTAATACAGAAAGTACAACCAGGGCAGTAATGTCAGTGATGACTTATAGATCTGAGATGTAACCTTTTACTGCTGGCCGTGTTAAAGAATTTTTCCGAGAATCCGTAAACTGTGGTAGTGGTAATGGGCCGGCCACATAGCTCGAAGAAACGACAACCAATCGAGTTCTTCTCCATTTGATTGTTGGTTCTCGAGTGGTGGTAAGCGAAGTGTAAAACGATCCCTCCCCCCCTATAGCGGCAGTTGATGAAACCAGGTGGCTTAGTATCGTCATTCACATGCTCGAAGACCTCGATGCATTTCAACTACCTCATGGAAGGGGATGACACCAAACGCGTTATCTGTGTACGTGATCTCGGCGTCTTACGAGTATATACGGAGAACGTAATGTTTCGTACTCATATTGTACAGGTGTGTAAAAAGGCCTTTAAAAACCTGGGCTTCATATTGCTTGAAATGCATGACTTCCATAATCCTGCCGCCATAGTCATTATATAATTCCTTAGTAAGAAGCAATTTATGTAGAAACCAGTGTTATCTATATAATCTGGAATCCGTGAATCCGTGAAAGTGAGCCGTGGTAGCTCAGACGGTTAACGCTTGCTGTAAATATAACAGAACGCGAGTAACCCGGGTTCGATCCCCGCCGGCACCAATGAAATTGTTAATTGCAATTTTAAGTGCTGATTTACCACGTGCTCGACGGTGAAGCAAAACATGGTGAGGAAACCCGCATGTCTGAGGAATAAGAAAAAAAATATATTTCGAAGACATGGAGAGAACGAAAGAAGAGAAGAGAGAAGGCCTGTGCCCTGCAGTGGGACGTATATTATGGACGTATATTACAGGCTGTAACTTTTTTTTGAAACCAAGTATAAGAAAGTGCTGGAGAAAAATGCAAAATAAGTTTACCCGGTAGCAATACAGAGTTTACCCTTTTTATCCTCTTATGTATCCAACCTTTTTTGTAATATGAATGGTTGGATATTATAAGTTGGAGGTTAGACGGAACTATTAAGTACATATTCTTGACCCTACGTGGTAGATTAAACAATCCGGAAATTCTGGAATCACTGCGGTTCCTCGTGCCTAATCCTAGACTGCGAAGGACCTGGACCTACCAGTTGCTCGTACAAATCTGTTAAAGTACGCACCGGTTGTTCGCGCAGCTAGAACGATTAATATCGTAGCACAACTACTGGACATATTTACTTGTATATTGGCGGAATTCGAGAAGGTGACATTAAAATATTTGTCATTTTTACATTAATGACCACATTGTTGCAATAGACTCCACTCCTGTAATAACAATTGTGTTAGTAATTAAATAAATAAATATTTTATGTCATTTCTTGGTGGAAGCCAGTGGACCCGTAAAGGGTTGTAATGATGATAATAATGATGATGAAAAATAGATATTAAGAAGAATATTTAAGGGTTTATACGGATTTATAATAATATAGCTTTGCTAATATTTATTTACCGGTGCAACGAAGGCAGCTGCATCACCGCCCAAATCCTTGTAATGGTCGCGAACATCGAAGCCGAGCGAGAAGAAGATGTTGTTCCAGATGAACATCTGCATTTTGGGCTCCTCTCCGGGGTTGATGGCCATCACGTTGCCATCCACAACCGCCATGGCGCCGCGCGTCGCCGCTGCCACGAAATCGCTGTGTACCTACAGATTGATCGCCAACCTCAACATTACACCATTTATTTAATTAAGTGCTGGAAGTTGATGGATGAAAAAGTTGAACATAACACATTTTCAAAACTAAATTTCCTTATATATGTTGTTATGTCTTCAGATCAGATTTATGCAGAACTTCATAAAGATATGTACCAAATGTAATCTTTATTAATAATTGTTGTTGTGTCTGTTTTTTTTTTTTACTGATTACTGTCTATCAAAAGTACACCGCTGAACAAAAGCGCTTTCTTATAGAATCACAGATTGTCTCATGGCGGGAAACATACTTGCCTTAGAACTGCCTGGTTACTGTACTGGTTAGAAAACACAGTTTTGTATTATTTTGGGTTGTTATCACAAAAAGATGATGCTGCTGCCCCTGTCCTATTTTACTTCCCCCCATGAAGGTTAGAGAACAGGAGAACGATCACTACGTACTAAAGCATAACGCGCCTGTCCTTGAAAATTGTAGAATACATAGCGGCGCTGACGTCGGTGAGTAGAGACTGCGAAGTTAGCTGTTTATGAGAACAAGTAGATGAAGTTAGTTGAATAATGTACTAATTTTCTCCGCGGCATTGGTGAGAAAATTTTCATGCTTCGTAATTTTGTAAATTTTGACAAAAAGAAACATTAAAAATAGGAGAAATATTTTATTGTGCGAGGATGTGCAAGTGGTTTAACATCTGATTGGAAAATAGACTGAAAATTACTTTTATTGAGTGAACTTATTTTTTTATAGGATAGGGTGACAAACGAGCACACAGTCCACTGATGGTAAGTAGTTGCTGCGGCCCATAGACATCTACATCTATCCTCGATTACGAATCAAAATGCAGATGCGTTATCACCCGTGAGGACTTAGGTGGAATGCCTCCTTTCCAGTAAAAAGGGTCTCCGGTCTCTACACTCACCATAAGAAACACAGCAGGGTTAAGTTACTATTTAACGCTGGTATTCTGTGAGAGCGTGGTCATTCCCCGGTCGAGACGACGCATTCGTCCTACAACTATACTACTAATATAATTGCAGCATGGCTCTACCACGTATAAAAAACTTAGCGATCGCAGTGCCTCACTTATGGTATCCATATTTCGGGGACACTATTTTTTACGGCGATTGTTCTCCTGTTCTCTAACCTTCATGCTTCCCCCTGTCGACTCTTACGACACTTAAATTCTCTAACGCCGCCATTACATGGCAAATGATCATTAGGAATGAATGATAGATATGTTTTGATCCAAAAGGTGGCGCTGTAGTTAAGTTATTAAAAATTTATATTTATGGAACAAATGACTCATTTTATATATTCGATTACTGCCAATAAAGAAAAATCACAAAATCGTGACCCGATAAAGTACCACTGGGGTTGAGTTATTTATAAATTTAATATTTACTCTGTAAGAAAGTCCAAAATTTATTTGAAATAAATCTCATTACACCAGCTACCGAACAGGGCAGGACATCGATTATCATCAGCTAGTAAATGACGAAAATGCTATGAAAGAAATAAAAGTCAAAATAAAAATAACAACAATATGTACATTGCCAGACAGCAGACTTAAACGTACATGGTTATTCGTTTAGAATCAATTTACCTCAAACCAATTCCAGAAATCATAAATCAACAATTTTCTGTTGTTTATACACAATTTAAGCTTTAGTTTGGTAGGCTTAGATTTAAGGCAAAACATTTGACAAACAAATTTTTTTATCGAAAAAAATCTACTTGTGGGATCTTAAAATATGAAGGTATGTTGAAATTTGGTCCACTAAAAATGAAACAGCGAACCTTGAATATGGCGCGTTCCCTCAACAGACGCTCGGGCAGCGTGGCGCGCGGCAGCTCGCGCGTCGTCTGCAGCTCCTCGTTCCAGTCGCGCGTCTGCCCCGGGATGTGCTCCTCGTAGCCCAGCTTCGACGAGAACGCTGCCACACACACCCACCCATATCATCATCAACTAAACTATCGTCAATCACAAAGGCTCCTGGGAAACCCAAAGTAGTATTTTTTTTTTTTATAGAAGAAGGGGCAAACGAGCATGCGGCTCACCTGATGTTAAGTGACTACCGCCGCCCATGATCAACCGCAACACCAGGAGAATTGCGGGTGCGTTGCCGGCCCTTTAGAAAGGAGTAAGCTCTTTTCTTGAAGGTCCCCAGGTCGTATCGGTCCGGAAAAATCGCCGGTGGTAAACTATTCCACAGAGAGGTTGTACGTGGAAGAAAACTCCTTGTGAAACGTACAGTGGTGGACCGCCAAGCATCCAGATGGTGTGGATGGTATCGGGACGTTTGACGTGTAGTGCGTTCACGAAATTTGGCGGCTGGAATTAATCCGAACAATTCCTCAGAGCACTCCCCGTGATAGATGCGATAAAATACGCAAAGAGATGCAACATCTCTTCGCAGCGCCAGTGAATCGAGCCGATCGGAAAGCACTCGGTCGTCGACGATTCGAGCCGCTCTGCGCTGGATGCGGTCAAGTGGAAGAAGCTGGTACTGGGGAGCCCCAGCCCAGAGATGGGAACAGTATTCCATGTGCGGCCGAACCTGCGCCTTGTAAAGTTGCAGGCGGTGTGCCGGCATGAAATACTGTCTCGCTCTGCTGAGCACGCCAAGCTTTTTAGAGGCCAATTTGGCCTTCCCTTCCAAGTGACCACGAAACTGCACGTTACTCGATATGTCGACGCCGAGGATTCCGATACTGGCTGAGGCAACAAGGGGAGTGCCTTGAAACTGAGGGGATACGACAAAGGGGTTCTTTTTAGCGGTTAACGCGCAAACTTGTGTCTTCTGGGGGTTAAACTGGACTAGATTTAGTCGCCCCCAATCCGAGACTCTGTCCAGTAGAGACTCGACTTCAGACACAAGTTTGTCCCGGCACTCGGAGACGTTTTCCCGAGAAATATTGGCTCGGCCGGTGTAAAGAGTATCACCAGTACTGTCATCTGCATAGCAATGAATGTTACGGGTATGCAACATGTCATTGATATGCAGAAGAAACAGCGTTGGCGATAGCACGCAGCCCTGTGGAACACCAGCATTAATAGGCTTGCGATCGGAGCTTGCACCGTCTACAACGTCCTTGATGCTCCGATCTGCAAGAAAGCTGGTGATCCAATCGCACAATTTCTTGGGAAGCCCGTAGGAAGGGAGCTTCGAAAGAAGCGCTTTGTGCCAAACCCGATCGAAGGCCTTCGCAATGTCCAAACTAACGGCCAATGCCTCCCCCTTGAACTCTACTGCCTCCGCCCATCTGTGAGTTAGGTAGACCAGAAGATCACCAGCTGACCGACCACGGCGAAAACCGTATTGGCGGTCACTAATCAGCCGGTGATCTTCAAGGTACCTCATGAGCTGGCAGTTTACAATGGACTCCATTGTTTTGGAGAACAAGGAGGTGATGGCGATTGGCCGGTAGTTGGACGGGTCAGAGCGGTCGCCTTTTTTAGGGATCGGGTGGACGTAAGCCGTCTTCCATGATTTTGGGACTACGCCTAGGGAGTAGGAGTACCGGAAAAGACGCGTTAAAACCGGTGCCAACTCTGGAGCACACGTCCTCAGCACAATTGGGGGGATTCCGTCAGGCTCACTCGACTTGTGGATGTCCAGGGAGAGGAGTGCTTTGCGAACCGAGCGCTGTGTGAAGTGCACTTCCGGCATGGAGCACTCACACCGCGGGATGGTCGGCGGAGTACTCTCCCCGTCATCGAGAGTCGAGTTAGACGCAAAGAAAGAGCCTAGAAGATCGGCTTTCTCCTTTGCGGTATGGGCCAGTGAGTCGTCCTCCCTGTGCAGAGATGGCTGACAGAAATTCCCCTGGACAGCCTTGGCGAGAGACCAGAATGCACGGGTTCCAGAAGGAAGGCGAACTAGTTTCTCGCCAATTCTGCCTATGTGCTCTGACTTTGCCTTGGCAATGACTCTTTTGAAGGACCTAGAGGCGGAATTATACTTCTTTTTTAGAGCGCTGGTGTTTACATCCCGGGACGCTGATGCATCAGCCCAGGCTAACACTCCTGCTTATAGCATGATGCTATTTTACAGGAGCGACCAAACCATGGCTGAGACTTGCCTCCAATGGGCACCACAGAGGAAGGAATAAAAAGTTCCATACCCTGAAGTACCACATCAGCGACAGAATCCGCAACAACGTTGGGATCATCCGGCGAGAAGCAAACCCGCCCCCAAGGGTAGGATGCAAAGAAAGACCGCATCCCATCCCAATCGGCTGACCTATAGTGCCAAACACGGCGGCAGCCTGCAGAATGCAACCGCGATTTCAGCGTGAGTGGCACCACACTCCGGACCAGACAATGGTCCGAGGAGCCTAAAGGGGCGTCGACGGAAATCTGATATCCGTCCGGGTGAGAGGTCAGCAGAAGGTCCAACAAGGAAGGTGCATGATCCTCCACATCTGGAATCCGCGTAGGCGAAGTAACCAGTAGTGTCAGACCATATGCCAAGGCAAAATCATGAACAGATCTCCCCGCATGATCGGTTAAACGTGAACCAAGCCATTCGGCGTGATGGGCGTTAAAGTCGCCGAGGATCACGATCTCTGCGGAGGGGATCCGCTGTAGCAACGAATCTGCAGCCATTTGGACGTGGTCGAAAAGTCGGTCTGTTTCGGCATTACCGCTATGGGACCTATAGAGGCACCCGTAGACGCGCGGATGGTCGTCGCTGTCTACGCGTAGCCAAAGGATGGACAGGTCCGAACCTTCAAGTCTGCCGAGGCGTCGACAGCAGATGTCCTCTCTGACGTAAACGCAAACTCCAGCCCGAGGCACAAAGGAGTGTTCCAGTTTGTACCCCGGGTAGGAGAGATACGAGACATCAGCCGGAAAGGACACCTGCGTCTCGGTCAGAAAGAGCAGAGCCGGCCTCGCCGTCTCGAGATGGTAGTGGACGGCGTTTAGGTTAGAGTGAAGTCCCCTGATATTGCAGAAATTCACGGACAGCGTGGCAGGGGCCGCCTTGGTCTTGTTGCTCCGTTTGCCCCGAGCAGTTGTAGTCTTGAGCGGAATTTTGCCCCCCCCCCCCCCCAGAATACGCGGGGCAGCCTGAGCACCCACGCTCAGAAGTGGAGAAACATGGTCGTGGATGCTCAGCGAGGGATTCTCCAGGGGTGCTGGTACCCTCCTGGGGTAGTTGATCATTATTTAATTCCGCTACCATGTTGATGGGGGGGGGGGGATTTGGGCCTCCGGCCACCTGCACTCACCAGACGAAACGCGGAAGCAGAGCTTCCACTTCACGCCGGTATTCTGTGAGGTCGTGGTACCACCCCGGTTTGAGCCGGCCCATACGTGCAACAGCAAAGCTGCCGCATGGCTCTACCACTAGTAACACTGACAGTCATCATCATTATCGCGTTAGCCTTTTTAAGTCCACTAGACATAGGCTCTTTCAAAAATGCGCCCTTTTTGTGAAATATCTACAATCCACCACGCAAAATAATACGGATTTGTGTGCTCAGGACAGATACACAAATATTGGTAAGGCTGCTCTCAATCATTAATTTATGCGGTTTTAGATCGATATATACAGAGTTATTTTTCAAAGGGTATCTAAATTTTATGAAGTCTGCAGTCTGTCAACATGTTCAAGATCGTCCCCACCATTACATCAGATTTGATAAACCACAAATCCTCCCAAAATAACATCGATTCCTACCAAGGATGATACGCGACGCTATTGAAATTAAAAAAACATCCTAATTTCAATAGAGAGGATGGATGGGTGCTGCCATCTGCTTGGGATCCTATAATTAACAAAATTAAACTCAAACCCAAGCATACAACTGCAAGACTTCAAGATACTGTAAGCTCGTTTTGCATAAATCGGACCGAAATATTAATATTAAAAAACTGAAGATAGCCGGGCTAACTATGACATTGGGACGTCAAACATCTTAGTCCCCCTCGTGACCATGGGTGCTGTAAAGCACCCGAAACGTCGGGAATTTAAAATATGATAGAATCCATGAAAACATTTTATCGTTTATTTTTTTACTTTTTTTACCCAACCTAAAAAAAAATAAAAAAAAAAAAAAAAAGTAAAATCAATCAATAAACGCGATAAAATCCGTAAATTTAGTTTTTAATTTATATTTAAGTTCAAATATATAAATAATGATATACCGTTATTTCAGTTTTTGAAAGTACGAGTAAATAGGGCTTCTACTTCTATTTAAAGCGTGTATAGGCAACAACTACGAGTACGCTCTCTCCTCTGTGTGGGATTCAATTCACAATGTTTTTGCCGAGCGAGCGACCCTTACGAATGTGCGTGCGTAGTAAAATAGTAGATTACCACGCATTCTGAATTTAGAAGATTAAAATGACAGAATGTTTGAGATTATTTAAATTAATTTTTCTTCACCATTCGCCTATATTACTTATTCTGAACCTTCTCTGCAAATTTGGGCGTATATTGCAAAATAACCCTGAATATATTGATGGATTTTTCGCCATTTATTGGTCGACAGAGCCGTGTGCACCGTACCAAGCAAACAGGTAAGGTTAACGTTTGGAAAAACTACATTTTACTGAATGGCCTACACTGAATTCAAAACCCCTAATTAGGATTGTGTCGTGTAGTGGTGATGTAAGAGAATTTAATTCTCCATTATCGTACACGGTACGATAATGGAGAATTAATACGAGAAGAATGTAATGTAATGAAATGAATGTGGGCGCTCAAGAGGCGGCGCATCTAATCTATCATAACAAACGAAAATAATAAGGTACTGCAGTTGGCAGCCCGCCTGCCAAACGTGGCAACTATGGCAAATGGGGGAACCCCTATGAGGCAATCCCCATGTTCAGTAGGACTTTAAGATACGCTGCAATGAAACAATGAGACAAAAATGATTTAGGAAAGAAAACTAATCAGGAGCTCCTGATTACACTGCATAGAATTCAGGATCCTAACTCGGACCGACAGCAAACGTCTACATGGATACAATGATTTTACAGGGGTTTTAGAATGGCGTTTACTTTGTCCAAATATAGAACAATTGGGCTTGATCTAACGTTTACAGCTAGCTAGCTAGCTTAATAAAACTCTAGCAAACGTAAGAAGATGGATGGCAGAATATTTCTTATGATGGACTATTAATTCTATTAACATCTATTTCTTTACAGGATAAGGGTGATAAGCGAGCACACAGTCCACCTGATGGTAAGTGGTTACTGCGGCCCATAGACATCTACATCTATCCTCGATCACGAATCAAAATGCGGATGAGTTGTCACCCGTGAGGACTAAGATGGAATGTTTCCTTTCTAAGTAAAAAGGGTCTCCGGTTCTCTACACTCACCAAACAAAACAGCAGCACACACACAGACACAGTAGCGTTAAGCTGCTATTTAACGCTGGTATTCTCTGACCGACCCATTCGCGCTACAATTAACTACTAATATAGCTGTAGTAAGGCTCTACCACGTAATCAATGTCAGAGAATCTTTATATAAATAATTATCATGGTTTTTATCCTAAATGTCGTGTTTTATTTTAACATCTCTAGTTTATTTATCACCACTCACTCACTCTTGAGAACACGCCACTTTTCCTTGCCCTGCGCAAGCTCTCATCAGTTGTCATGCGCTTGAAGCGCGCGCAGATCTGCTTCCACCCGTTTGTCCAGCAATATTTGGTATTTTATAATAATCTCTCTTTAATAATTTAAAATTTTTCTTTGTTTATTTATTTTTCCTTTGTTTTTACAGCTAAATCCGCTTATTAGCGCTTTGTATCACATGGTCTAATGAGTCTATTTTTTTATAAATTTTTGTTAAATATTGTACATAGAGTTCATTACTTACTGTCCTCAGCTCGTATTGCATCCACGGTGTGATCGAGCATTGGCGAAGCCCACTGGTATACTTGGTATGGGGTTGCTACTCTCTCGAACGGATGTTTCTGCATGCGTCTCTTTTGAACTAAGGCAAAATTTCTTTTAAAGGCCGGAGATACAATGCTCAGTAGCTCTATTAAAGAATGACATAAGAGGGACGGGTTCGATGGACGTGGATTGAAAACTTCCTCGGTAGACCTGTAATATAATTATAAATTGTTTTAGCAACATTGTCAAATTCAATCTAATTCATGTTTTGCATAAGTATAAGCACTGGTTTTAAGTAAGTATTATCGGATCTATGTGAAGTGCGACCTTTTAACAGGGTTAGAGGAGAGACAAACTGGTCAGACGTACGCAATGTATACAAGGTATTATGACTCTTATTTTGTATGAAAAACTATGCATTAGAAACACACTTATCGTATGCAACGCGATCACACGCGTTCGACGTAACGTCGTACTACATATTCATATATTTGTTTGCATTATAAATCATACAGTTTAACAGAATTACTACCTAGACGTCCAAAACTTTAAATAGTTTGGTAGAAATACTGTTAAACGTTATGATTTAAAAAGAAAACGGATCCATGAATATGTTAAATGTAAATATGTAAAATATAACGTTTTATACCCGCAAAACATCAAAAGTTTGAAATACGAAAGTAGAGAAAAAAATCGATCGTCATTTATCAGTCCCTTAACTAGCGTACGAGGGCAGAGGGCTGAGTTCAAACTTTGAAAATGGAACTCTGCCAATGTTATTGTGTATGTATTTTATTAATTTGTTATTTGTTTACGATTTGGCGGCAACTTGAAAATTGTCTGTGTCACGTCAGCATAAATTTAACAGCCTTCTTACATTTCGGCGTTACGCAAATGCACGCACTGAGCGGGCGACGACCTACGCGAGCGATACTTTATTTCATATCTATTCACTCGCTCGCACTACGATACTGTGAGTATAGCGACTAAACGATCTTGATCTTCCATTATACAAGTTTTCTTAGAATGGAGTTCAGTGGATGGAAAATTTTTGATGTCATTTTCATGTTACCTAATTAATTTATTATAATCTATTTGATAGAATCGATTGTTAACCAATGTTGGTTAATAATCGATTATATCTACTAACGGTAACACAGTGGTATAAATAAATAAATAGTATGGTTGCAACCTGTTTTAAGAAATAAAATAATCAACTGTAACTAATATTTTTTAAATCGGTACTTACAGTCAATTACCATATTTTTTTATTATAAAAATATTTGCCGCATCGGCATTGACCGAGCTTATCTCGAGTCAATAATTTTAGGAAGGCAGTACACACTTTTTATAAAACGCTTGTAACCTGGGTAACATATTTAAAATCTAAAATTTGTCGTCTTTGTAGATTTTTAGTACTTTTACTGCATAATCTGGGCCAGTTCATATGGCAAGCATGCAGACATTTTTATTCTCTATTATTATTTCTCCAGAGACAGAATATTTATTTTTTTACGTTTAGTGACACATTGATACTTGTATTTATTTTTCACCATTGCGACTGGTAAGAAAGCTCAGCTGCAATCGAAATAACTATAATGAGTTAACTATCTGGTATAATAATAATGTGCGAACTTTATACTAATTGAAATATAGTGTACGAAAGTAAATACTTCCAACGATTAAAAACTGCGGGGGTAGTTGACGATGTTCTAGCACAAAATAGCAGCGCCACGGCAATCGACGCACATTACGATAATATCGAAACGAGGAGCGCGCGAAATAAAGTGACACATGTCCAACCGAGAGAACCGCTCGCGCAGTAATGAATTCAGATGGTCGACGCAGTGAAATACATGGTACTTTTATTGAATTAATTAAAAAAGAATAGTAACGACTTAAAAAGTAAAAATCATAGTATAGTTTAAGCAAATGTTGATGATTATTTTGGTATAAATTTTACGTCAAAATGATGTAGAACTTCGGAGATATTGGGGCTTGTATCGAAGGTTTTTCGGTCGTTAATTGAATTATGTAGATTTTTTCCTTACGTGAAAAAGGCATAAACGATTCGTGAGATAAAAATATTTCTTTTGGTGGTCGATATTCAATAGAATCTACAAATTAGAGCTCCGAAATCATGTCTCCCAAAGTTTTGATCTAAACATGCATCGAGAGATGATTATTATTACTAAATTAAAAATAAGTTATCTAAAATTTGCCTTGAGCTTATTGTGAGCTTATTGTAGTAGAGAAAACGAACTATTTTTACCAAGTAATTGTTATTTCAAGCAACGAACGGAAAGCATAGAATTTCAACAAGGAAACTTTGTAATATCGCGATTTTTTGTAATAGGCTCGTTAACGCGAGAAAATTTTAGTACAATGATTTTTATGGCTTTCGATGTCATTTAAGTAAACAAGAAAGTTATGATAGGCTTCGATTGGCCTTTCACGATGAAGACCCATCTCGTGCCACTGTTTACAAATGGTTTAATGAGTTTAAACGAGGTTGCACTAATCTCACCGATGATCGGCGTGAGGAACGGCCTTTTACGGCGATAACTAAAGATAACAACAGTGTTGTGCGTCGTACTATAGAGATTGACAAAAGAGTGACTTATCAGCAGATTCGGACAAGCTTAGGCATTGGTATGAGTCAAAAGCACAAAATCCTCCATGAACATTTAGCGGTCGGGAAGCTTTGTAACCGGTGGATATCTAATAATTTGACAGAGGCCCAAAAACTCCGACGTGTTGATTGGTGTCGTGAAATGGTTTAAAGGTTTAACGGAAGCGACTCAAATACTGTGTTCGACATACTTACGGGTGACGAAAGCTGGATTTATTGCTATAATCCTGAAACTAAGAGACAGTCTGCTGTCTGGGTGTTTCCTTCCGAGGAGTAGCCAACTAAAGTGAAAAGAGGTAGAAGCGTGGGAAAAAGCTGGTGGCCTCGTTCTTCGGAAGGACAGGTCATTATGTGACAAATGTTTTAGAGGATCGAAAAACAGTTACTGCAGAGTGGTACACTAACAATTGTTTGCCACTTGTCTTGGACAAAGTTCAGGAAAAACGAACTCGCAGTAAGATCCTTCTTCACCACGACAACGCCTCGTCCACACACCGGCAAGCAAACAATCGACTACTTGGCGACGTCAGACGTGGAATTACTGGGTCACCCGCCCTATAGCCCCGACTGTATGCTTTATTGGTTTAGTATATATTTTATTTAAATATATATGTATGTATATATATATTTATGTATGTATGTGTATAAGTGTATATTTGTTGCGCGGCTAAGTTGACATCTCATCTCATGGCACTAGCGCCATCTAGTGTCGGGTAACAGAGCGAGGAGAGAGCTTTCCAGAAAACGACACGACTAATTTTTTAACCGACAGCGCCATCTAGTATCAAATTGAAGAACTAAACTTTCTAGAAACTCTACACTCGATCTTTCTGCGCTTGGTCGGTTGGCGCGCGTATTTACTCGAATATTCTGGAATATTCTGGATGTTTTCGTGGAAGAGCCCTATATAAAGGCGCTGCAATACGCGATCGGGGAAGTATTGAAGTTGGCGAGACAAGCGAAGCTTCGGAGCGGAATAAAGTGAATCAGTGTGATTAATTATTAGTGTTTTTAAGTTTTAATTGGTGTAAAGAAAATTAAAGTGTTAATTTAGGTAATTTTATCGGCAATCTTAATTGTCACGAACCTCAAGCTCGTAACAATATGTATAAACTAACATATACATAATATTATATAATACGTCTTGAATAGTATGAATTAATGACTTAGTTTTTTCTTTCTCTCGCGGCACTACCCATAGCTCTCACCACACTACAAAAGGTTAGCTGGCAGAGAATGCCTTTTCGGCATTAAGTTCGCCTTTGTACCAAATTGTTTTGTTTGAGTGCAATAAATATAAGGGTCACGATCGCGAACAATTTGCACTGACTTTACTTTTCGCTTCTTGCGACGCACCAAACGGCAATGTTCGGCAGAATATCTGGCGGCCGGATATCCTCCTATTCGGCGATAAGACTGGTCGAATATCCGGTATCCGGCCAAACAGCTATTCATTTCATCTCTAGTGAATATATTCCTATATGAACATCGGACTAAGTAAATAATTCTCATACTCACTCTCAGAAAACATTTAATAAATTTGACTTGTACGTCCGCTAAGTGACAAGTGTCTTATGCCAAACATACGTTGCCTACGTAGGTAAAGCGTGCACACCAACGTAGGAGTGTTGCATCGTATACTTTGTGTACGTGGGACCAGTCTGTCTCTACCTTAACTGTTATAATATAATCCTACGATAAATAAATCGGTTGTCTAGCTACGATTAAGTACGATAAGACAAAACTGCCTAAGTTATTTTAATGCCTAGACGAGTAGTTACTTTTATTATTCCCAAATCGTAATTGATTTTTTTTTTATTTCCTGTATTTTACGGCATCCACATATTGCGTTGGTTAAAATTATTTACTTTATTCTAAAATAATATATAGCTACATAATTAGGCTTTTACATCTGTCATCCAGATGGGTAGGCAGAAAATACGGACTTCCGTTTGACGCGATCTTAACACACCACTTTCGCTTGTTTTACATCCATACTATGTACGTATACATCGTATAAGAACTGTCAATTTGGATATTTTTTTTGTAAAATAAGAGTTACTAACGAGCTCACAGTTTAAGTGGATGTTACGGTCCGTAGACATCTACATTTATCATCACGAAACACAGCGGCATAATTCTGCTGTATTTCTGTATTTTGTGACAATTTGGTCCTCTACCTACGAGCCGAGCCATTTATGAGTATGGCTCTACCACACACAAATAAAATCACTTTCAATTTATCATTATTAAATATATTAATATAGTTGAGCCGTCTAAAAAATATTCAGGACCTCCACTTATTCAAATATATCACGGGTTACGTCCTAAAATAGCATAAAAAGATGTCTCATCTTTCTTCCAGGTGAGACTGCACCTGAAGATGGATAAAGTTTAAATTTAGCCGAATTCACAGAGCTTATCTCTATCATGATCAAATTACAAATTGAACATTACTGGTTAAGATAGAATCCTCGTGGGCACGCTGTGATGTGGAAATGACGGTCTTCTAGTGTCACGACGTATAAGTAGAGTAGATCGCCACACATCTTACGAGGCCCGGGTGGAGGGTTCCAGCCTGACGTCGTTAGAACCTGACATTAAAAATAGTATTATAGTTAAAATTATTAGTTAAGATCTTGTGCCGATTTTGAAATTAAATTATTGGTACAGTGCGTACGGATAAAGAATGAGATTAAAAATGGCGGCTCATCGAGCCGGTACCAAAAGCATAAACCCGCTAATAACGATATATCGTTATAACGTTATATTATTCGGTTAATTGAAAATTTTCTATTAATAGGAAAATATTTGAAAAGATTTGTATACTCTACACTAGTAGGTAGGTAAATTAATTTCAAAATAACATTTATAAAAAATTACCCTATTTAAGGCTGTAATACTGCCAGAGTGTATACGAGCAATCTATGGGTCAATTACACCAAAAGGTCGCTGGATGTCCTGCGTGTTCAATACAATAACGCTTTCAGAATGTTGTTGGGACTGCCTCGGTACTGTAGTGCGTTGGAGATGTTTGCACAAGCTCGCGCGGACAGCTTTCATGCGATAATACGCAAGAAAACAGCTTCGCTGCTAAGAAGGGTGAGAGATCACAACAGCATTTTAAAAGCAGTAGCGGAGAACTAAAATTCTCCGATTTTGAAAAAGTTTGTCAACACATTAATATTCACTTACACTAGTTTTTATGTCATTTGTTACTAACACTGCTATGGATTAATTTTGGTCCGAAATAAAGATTATTATTATTATTATTATTATAACAAGCTATAATACTTGCTTTGGCTTCGCCTGGATGGCATCTATTAATGTGGCGTTATTTGTGGCGACTTAAGATAAAAGTCAAGGCGACTTAAGGTAAAAATCATTAGACTATATATTTTATCTTATCAATATTTCAATTTTAAAATAATTTCTAAATTTTACTGTTAAACTTAGTTTATATCACTCCTGGTATTACTCTCTACTTGTTCGTTATGTTATATTGCAATCGGTTCAGCCATTCCGAAGATTGTCTCGGACTGACAGACAAACGAAAATATTAAAAATGGTTACTCATGTTTTAATCATCATCATCATCATTCCTTCATCAGCCCTTCACAAGTCCACTGCTGAACATAGGCCTTCCCCAAGTAATGCCACAAAGCACGGTCCTAATCCACCTGCATCCACCGACTTCCTGTATGTCTTACCAGGTCGTCACTCCATCTAGTGGGGGGTCGCCCTACACTACGCCTACCGATACGCGGCTGCCACTCGAGAACCTTTCTTCCCCATCGGTTATCGGTTCTTCGAGCTATATGGCCGACCCATTGCCACTTCAGCTTACTAATCCGTTGGGCTATGTCGGTCACTCTGGTTCTACTGCGGATATCCTCATTTCTACGCACGCAGAGAAAAAAATAGCCCTCTCCATAGCTCGCTGAGCGACTTTGAGCGTCCTCATACGGCCAGCAGTGAAGAACCACGTCTCGGTTTCCGTAGATCATCACTGGCAACACGCACTGGTTGTACAACTTAGTTTTCAGGTTTTGAAGTATACCTGACGAGAAGATGCGTCGTAATTTCCCGAACGCTGCCCAGCCGAGTTGAATCCGTCGATTGACCTCTCGGTCGAAGTTGGACTTACCTAGTCGGACTATTTGTCCCAGGTAAACGTACTCGTCAACAACTTCGAGCTTAGTGTTCCCCACAAATAACGGCATAGGTGTGACATGGACATTAAACATGATCTTTGTTTTGTCCATGTTCATCTTAAGACCTATCCGTTGGGAGGCACTGTTTAGGTCATTGAGCATAGTGCTTAGGTCCTCTAGCGATTCTGCCATAAGGACTATATTGTCGGCAAATCGAAGGTGAGTGATGTACTCGCCATTTATGTTAATAGCGTATCCTTTCCAGTCCAGTGGCTTGAAAACGTCTTCCAATGCAGCGGTGAAGAGTTTTAATAGCATTCAATTATGAACAAAAATATTTATAAACAAAATTACAGAAAATACAATTTTTTTTTGGGTAGTTTATGGCATTTTGATAACATTGATTACAATGATAAGTAGGACTGAAGTTATAGAACGTACAAAAAACGCATACCGCAACGTAGTTTTTGGCTGTCTTTACCGGATGGTATGAGTACAGATAGTAACAGTGTGCGAGCGAGAAGTGAAGAGATGCGACGCCACTTTCAATCCTATTCTTTAACCGCGCGGGTAGTACATTAATTTGTAGTAAATTAATAAATAATATTATTAGTAAAGTTCGGAGTTTGAGAACGTTAGTTCGCAACGTTTATAAACAAATCGCGCCGTGCCTGATAAACCTACGCGTTTCACTCTGTCGGTTGTTTCAATTCAAGGGTTGTTGTTTCAACTCAAGGGTTGTTATTTCAATTCAAGAGTTGTTTAGTCAATAAACAGGAAAGATTAAAGTAATTGTTTCCGAGGGAAAAGGGCAATAAATTTGAATACAACCGACACGAAATTTGCGGGAGATTTGCAGGTTTAGCACTTGCTAGTAATGTTACTGATGTAAAATTATAAAATACTACATTCAATTTAAGATAAAAAACACAGAAATTGTATTTTAGTTATATAGTACATAGTGCCTAGGCTACCTTAAGACACTGAGGTGCCTTATTTTCCTTAGTGAGACCTGGATGAAGAGGCAATAAAGGTCGCTCTGTGCTGCCCGGCATTATGTAGTCAGGAGGTGTGCAGTCTACACTTTCTGGACGTGATTTCTTCTTTTCTATAAAAACAGAAACAATAAAAATTTACTTAAAAAAGTACGACATAATTTTCATGTCAAGACAGAGCTAACTACGCATCTAAGTAGTAGGAGTCTTTATACGCCTGAAAGTCCCTCTGGATAGATATCACTATGTGACCTACTGCTGTATTGCAGTCCTTACACGGCTGTGTAAAGGGAAAAGAGGGCCAGAATAATTTCAGACTATATGGTATTCCATATAAATAGTTTCATGTGCTACAGAATACAACTGCTACAGTATATATCATATCATATATCATGCTACAGTAGCCAATTTACCGTCGAGTGGATTGTAAGTTCGTTTATCATTTTAAGCAAATTAAAAAAAAACGCACCAAGTATATCGCCTTGGGTGATTATGTTTAGAAAAGCCAAAGAGCTGCATTCTTGACCAGCATAGGCATCAACATAGTCAATGGATTTGAGCAGATCACGCACATGACGAACATGTATGCGTGCCTCACGCATTGTGTAGGGTTCCTCAACCACCTAAAACAGATAAAAGAAAATGTATAAAAAACTGATTTCTTTTATTTACGCGAACACTACACATTGATAAAAACTACTTTTACGGATTTTATCGCGTTTTATTTATTTTTATTTTTAATACCCGACGTTTCGGGTGCTTTCCAGCACCCATGGTCACGGAGTACTGAGGTGACTAACGTCCTGATGTCAATGTTAACTCGGAGTACCTTCAGCTTTTTAATTATTGTTTATGGTATGGCATTCTGCATAGATCGGACCATAAACAATAATTAAAAAGCTGAAGGTACTCCGGGTTAACATTGACATCGGGACGTCAGTCACCTCAGTCCCCCGTAACCATGGGTGCTGAAGAGCACCCAAAACGTCGGGAATTAAAAATCAAACGCGATAAAATCCGTAAAAGTAGTTTTAATCAAGATATAAAAAAAGATAAGATCCAGGACAATTAAATTCAATAAAATTAAAAATACTCACTTTAATAACTGATCCTTCTTTGAGACCTTCTATATTTTTTAGTTCAGCAAAATTGTCGAGTGTAACACCGTCTAACTGTAATGAAAAGCATGTTCTATGGCATGTATCTTCACGATCCATTAGCACCTGATGAATTTCTTGAACCAACTCCATACTGGAAACCTGAACAATGATAAAACGCATAATTATTATTATCATATATCATCACCATCATTACAGCATTTTACAAATCCACTGCTGAGCATAGGCCTCCCCCAGGGAATGCCACAAAGTACGGTCCTAAGCCACCTGCATCCATCGACTTCCTGCATATCTTACCAGGTCGTCACTCCACCTAGTGGGGACCGCCCTACACTTCGCTTACCAGAACGAGGTTGCGAAAACCTTTCTTCCCCATCGGTTGTCGGTTCTTCTTATAATATTAGTTAATCCTTTAATTATTATAACAAAACTAAAAATATAGTGTATAAAATAATTACTTTATATATAATATACTAAGTTTTCGATTAGATCAATACCTGAATATCCAATGGGTCCGCTCCCGGACTAACTATCTTAACAGTAAAACCCATGTCTTGAATAAAAACCACTTCTGCATCTCTCTTTTTGTCGTCACCATCCTCGCTAGGTGAAGACTCTCTGTCCTTGTCTCCATTAACAATTTCATTGCTTTCACCATTAACCTTTTCGCAATCACTTTTAGTGATTTTAGTTTTATTTCCCCCTTCTACATTTTCAGAGCTTTGGTTACTAACAGATTTTTTTTTCTCATCAGAGTCCACAATTTTTGCTGTAGCAGCAATTTTACTGCTCTTTTTCTTCTTTTCATTTGCCTGTTTTTCTTCAGCTACTTTCACAGGAGTAGATTTCAGTAAAATTACACCACTCCCCTCATCTGACTTGTTAGATTTTGAATCGTCGGAATCACTATTGACCCCGTTAGTAATTATTTTAGCACTATCACTACTACTAATATCACAATCTGAATCTTTTTTTGGATCACCATTTACAATATTTTCACTAGGTGTTGCGGTTCCATTTAAAATCGGTTCTTTGGTACATGTTTTATCTTGCTTTCTATCATCTGCTTTAGGCATCGTCTTTTCTCCGTTTATTTTTGCTACAGCTCCGTTAGGTTTAACTTGGTGCCTTTTTTCGGTATTCATTTTAGGTTTCTGGGTTTCTGAAAAAAATATACAGGATTTAGTAAATTGTTAAAATGAAATGGTTTGTACCAATAAGGGTATAAGAATGAATTTAGAATGAATTATGTACCGGCATTTGGTGTAAAATGCGGTGGCGTGTTATTAGTTTGTGGCGAAGGAGCCTTGCGTGCGGCAGCCGCATATGATACGCGCGGTGGCGACGGCGCACAGATGACGCCGCCGCCGCCTTCGTCATCAGCACGCCCGTTAGGCGTACTTGTGTGACCGTTGCTACAATCCGCGGCTTTAACACCTATCTCCTTTTTCATTTTTGACAGTTGCTTGTTCTCCGTTTTATCAACTAAACAGGCAATGGACAAATAAACAAATTAATATTTGATTATTTGACAAGATAGAAATCACAGCTCGATGTTGGGTGGCCATTACATTTTTATTGGAAAAATAGACTTCATTAAAGAAATATCTTCATTAAATAATTTTTATGTTATAATAATGTTAGTGAATGTATTTTTATTCATTACCGAAAAATTAACTAAGAAAAATAAGCTCCATCCACTTTATTACAAAGATTCCTGTTGAATTTCTCAACACGGAATAACGAAGTAACACTCATAATAAATTATAAGCATTGAAAACTTCTACCAATGTATTTAAAAAACGCGTACATTGATGAACGAATCAGTTGCTGAGAGCGAGCAGTAGATATAGAATCTTTTAAATATTTATGGCCCGTATATAGAACATTGATTCTTAATAGACTATATTGGTTCCGCGTAATGTTCCGTAAACGGGAGGCGTCAGAGGCCGAGAGCGCATGTGCCATCTCGTGACTGGTGAACACGTGGTCTGCGCTGGCGCTCCGCCAACTATCTCCAGCGGAGAGTCAATAATAGACGGCAACGGGATGCCGCCAACAATAGACGCGATCGACGATACCTACACTTCCAACCTATCTACAGTTTTCTAACCAGTTAACAATCACTCGAAACTTCAAAAGAAATAACATCAATTTATGTTGTAAACATTAATGTATGGAAGAGATTTTATCACAAAATATATTAATCAACTGTGCCATGTACGCAATTCACATAAATTATTAATAGAACGTGATAATTTTACGTAATGATCTCTTTGCCTAACAAATTGTTTATTTAAAAAATACCAAAACAATCGCTTTTACGACTACGTATAAATTATTATGTCTTACGTATAAAAGATAAGAGAGAAGCAACTACTGCGATCATTATAATGATAGTAAGAGCGTCCTTTTACACATTATAGTAGAGTCGAGGAAATACTAGTTTGGGGGGAAGATATGCCGTATCACTAGAAATATTTGATTTTATCATTGTCACCACAAGATAGCAAACGTAACGAACCTCTTAACTAGATACTGAACCGAAACTGATAACCAGACGTTGACACGATTTTTTGTCGCGATCAATCACCGTCTCACGAATTTTTCATCATGCAGCCTTTTACAGTTATCAACATTTTTTATCATACGCAAATTCTTAATCGCGTATTGTTTAATACCTTTTCTACATAAACCGCAAAGAAATTTCAATTCAAACAATTTTTGTCAGCTTGCTGCATTAATACAAATTTTACGAGTAAAATTGCAATTCTATTTTAAAATATTTTAAAAAGAGGGATAACCTCAAATGGCTTAGCAAGATCCTCCGTTATGCCGAAAATATTGCAGCATTAATTAATTTTGAAATAAATATATGGTTGGAACCGGGCGGCAGGAAACAAGCTTCAGGACGCCGATAGTTTAGGTAATTTCTTTTTACAGTGAAAATAATGATAATTTAAAAAAATAAAAAACGTAAGCCCTGCTTTATAGTTAGTTCAGTTAGTATGCAAAGTTTCATGATCTATTAAAGTATTTTATGAATAACAGCGGTTTATTGTTCAGTTTGGAGGTAAATTTGGATTTTTTTTTCTATCGAGAAAATTTTACGGAATCATGTTTTCGTCTAACATAGTACTTAACGTTAATGCTCAACTTTACCATATATTTATTTCAAAATTAATGCTGCAACATTTTCGGCATAACGGAGGATCTTGCTAAGCCATTTGAGGTTACATTTCCCCTTAATTCGACTGTATGTTTGTTACACGATATCTTTGCAGAGTGTTCCCAGTTAAATTTGATGAAACCTTCAATAAAAAAAGGAATATTAAACATGAAATTTAATGTAATTATACAGACGACAATTAATTGTTAAAGGGTTAACTACATAAACTTTAAAAAAAGTAAAAAAAAACGAATACTACATAGAACTAAAAATAATAAAAAATTAAAAAAATTTATAGCTTCTAAATCAGAGGTTTCAAAATTTGGATCTTAGCATCGACTACAGAAACGAAGATGTAATTTATTTTTAGTTTTTTTTTATGTCGGTTTTTACTTTTTTAATTTTAAATTATCAGTTTATACAATTTCTGAAATCCTTATGATAAAATACAGTCACTGGGTGCGTTTGGCAGAAAAAAGCGCTAGCTAGCGCTTGTAAGCAAAATGGCGATCGTAAGCGGTAAGCGCTGTCAAATCGTAAGTAGCTATTTTCCTCTAGGAACTAACCTAACCTAACCTAATTTAAATATATGTTTGTGAAGTATTCATATTAAAAAACCAATCAATTTTAATAACTTTGCTATTCATGTCATTATATTACTTAAAACTAATATTGCAAAAAAACATCTTATAAACTCTACTTCAAAACAAACAAATTAAATAAGCAAAATGGCGGATTGTGTCAGCTGTCAGCGCTACTGAAGTAGCAATCGTGTCCTGGCCGAAAACTATTTTAGCGCTAGTAAGCGCTTGCTAGCGCTTTTTTCTGCCAAACGCACCCAATATTTTATGCGTGTCATAGATTATTATTTTTACATGTAATATGAAACACGGCCACTTATTCTAGTTGGACATTAGTAACACATACAGAGGGTTTCAATGTAAGAAATCTGATAAGTGTAGAGTTAACGAAATATTCCAGCGAAAAGGGAACAGGCTATGTAATAAAGTGTTATAAGATGGCTGTTTGAGCCAGACGTACTCCTAATCTTCCTAGACCGACAACTGTGAGAGCGTCTGGCGTCGCTCGCCAAGCGCTCTTACTATGGCAAATCCTTCCTACAGTAAAAGAAGTCCACGTCCAGCAGCAACCTTTATGGGAAGAAGTATAAGTCAAAAGCTACATGGAATCTCAATCGAATCTAATCGAATAAAGTAAGACTCCCAACGAAAGATATTGATAAAAATAATTCTGACGGAAATGCTATAATAGATCCAAAATTAATTCTTCAGGCACTTAATGGCTTTTACATTGATAATGCACAACCGATTACTAAACACTTTGTAAGAAAGAAAGAAGTTGGAAGAATATAGTTATAGTTATTCTTTATGAAACCAGCTATACCTGATTTTTACTAGTACGGGATATGATGCCATAAACGCAAAGATCATGAAACTTGTCTCACGTCTAATTGCTCCAATATTAAGTCATATCATAAATATATGTAATGAACCAGATATCTTTCCAAGTTAGTTAAAAATTACAATTTTTATGCTGTTACATAAAAAAAGATGACAAACAAACAAACTACAGCTCTATAATTAGTTATATAGTATAACTAATTATAGAGCTGTAGCTCTTTTTACTATTTTTTTTCCAAAATTTTTGTAAAACACATTTATAATCCCTTAGAAAATAACAATATAATTATAGACCAACAAAAGAGATTTCCTAAAAATAAAAATATAAATACAGCTACTTACGAATTCTTGAAATATATTATATATTTAAAAATGGACAACAAGAAACCAGTTTAGGCATTATTCCTTAATATGACCAAGGTTTTTGACTTTGTTGACCACAATCCACAATATTTTATTGGGAAAAATGGAGACATATGGCATAAGAGGAAATACACTAAAACTAATGAGTTCTTACTTATCTAATAAAATGCAAAAATCACGAATAAGTAAAATTTCATTTAATCATAAAACGGAAAAGGTTTACTCATCTAAAAGTAAGCTAGTTCTATACGGTGTATCAAAATGCAGTGTTTTTGGACCCTTATTATTTTTGGCCTACATTTTTACGCAATAATACGAGGCAGTCCCTTCGATTACTTCTATAAATTTATTTTAGCTTATTCTACTTCACATAAAGGCAGTACCATGGAGCAGACTCCAATTTTTTAACAATATAGCAATGAAACACTGACGCTGTCATAAATACCAACACCACAAAATTATGTTTGGCATCGCCACGAAGTATTTTATAGGAACAGCGAGTAATCTTGAGTTAGCTTGCGATACATACATTTTTATAAATTTATAATCGGGAAACGTGAAAGTGTCTCTTTTCTTTAATATTGCACGCCTCATAAGCGAAGCGTTAAGTTGTGCTCTCACCTAATGAAAATCCAGTAATTTTTTGAGCTAAAAATGTTTATTTTTTTACTATTGCACTTTTAGAATAATAAAAATACACATATATCGAGAATAATCACTCGCTTTCATGTTTCTATTATTTTTAAAAGTAATTTTCTGTATGTATTTAGTGTAAAAACAAACTGATTGAAAAAAAATTGGAGGGTTTCTGGATGTCTGTATGTGTGGATGGCGCACGATTACGGTCGTTACAATTAATGTATCAAAATAATTCTTTTTTTATTATGTTTAGAATCTCAACGCACAGGTTACTTTTAAAAATCACTGAGTAATTTGGTCTCGTTTAATTCTAATTAATGAAAATGTAAAAAACAACTGGTACTTTTCTACAAAAAATATTCTCATGGATCTCTTCTTTCGTCACAAATATGGAAAAAGAGATATTTTTCTTTTTATATAATGAAATGAGATTATGATGCACTTTTGGATTTTCCAAACTTTTGGAAACATTGCCAGCAAAGATCTTCACTAAGCAAGAGTAAATAACTTGCATGTTGACTATTCAAAGTCCAAGCTTCAAGTACATTTATAAGTGTAACATTTTGTAATTTTAGATTTGTAACACATTTTTTAATTTTGCCATGGCACTTGACATGCTCTAATATCTAATAGAAAGTCTACATCACATTTACGTTTACAGTTTGTAACATCGAAATATACTTAATTGAAACAGGCGTTACTTTTCGGAAATCAGTTCAAAATGTTAAAATTAATAAGCTAAGAGCCACGTGGAAAAACAATGAAGAGTTTTACCTTAAATTACTAAAACCAACACCATTCAATAGCGAGTACAAAACTCATCTTCGATTTGCCAGTTTTATAACATGTGCTGCATACGCTTATTGACCTCAATAAGCGTCTCCCAACAGAGA